TCTTTGCATGGATCAGCTTTGGACAGACACAGGACAGCAAATGAGGTGAATTTAATGTCTGATTTAGGTGAGCCATTCCTGTTTTATAATTGCAGTTTATTTTACAAATGATATGGTGCTCACACCTCCTAAAGTGAGACTTGAGTACTTTGAAACTGATTTGTACCTCAAGAGGGATTTCAAACCCTCTGTTCCAGTTATTTATAGCAACCATAATAAGTCATTTTAATTGACTGAAGTTCTTTATTCCCACAGGAGAGACTGAAAGTGTGCCTGTGAGTACCCCTGCAACACAGATTTCCCAGGTAAAGATGAGCAAAATGCCCTAAATAACTCCAAGAGTTTAAAGAGTTACTAACAGATAAACAGTGGTTAAAAAACTAAATTAAGTGGAAGGGAAAATGTAGGCACTTACAAGGAACATGGCAAATAAAATGTGCACACTGCATGAATAAATGTCATACATATCACATCTCGGGCTTCATCTTAAAAGACACTTCAGTAAAATTTCTCTGCTCACAACCAGTTGTGTTTAGACAGGTGATTTGTGAGCTCAGATAATTAGCTGGCATCATTAGCACCAATTAGAGAATGTCAATTCGCTGGGCCGGAGGGAGATTTCATGGCTGAGCTCTGATGAGCTTTCACCAAATCCGATGAACTGTCCCAGGAGCAAGGATGTGTTGATTGACATGGGGCGGGGGTGTCTTCCCCAGCAGGGGGCCAGGTCTCCTGGGGGGCTCTGGGTTATCCTGGCAGCCTCACAGCTCCTTGGACCATGGGGTGCTCTTCTTGCCTGATAATCCAGAGCAGCCAGGTCAGCCAGAGCGTTGAGTCTTGCTGCGTGTCTCTGTCTGGCTCCCCAACCAGGAGCTTGGAAACCCTATCTTTGAGCCCACGTTGGCTCAAGGTGATTAGGATTTCCAGAGCTCTGCCGCCGCTATTTGAGTTGACATTCTTGCTGCAATTAGCCACCATGGATGCAACAAGACTGTCTATACCACAGCCCAGGGAGCATCCTTCCTGTAAGATGCAGTTTCAGTGTTTCCACAGTGATGTTTCCCACATATTTCCAATCTGCAGTAAACGCAACAGTTTTGAGCACTTTAAACCTTGGTCTGGTTCAACATGGAGCCATACTCTGAAAAAGAAACATATCCCTGAACTGGAAACCCTGACTATTTGAGACATCCCTTGTCACCACTGCAACACTAATGCCCATAATTGCTTGTAAGTGCACCATGGCAAGTAGAGAAGATACTGCTTTCCATTAACTAGTCAGTGCTTCTCTTGTCTCATCCTCTTTTACCATCCAGACAGCTCCAACCAGGAGCTGTGACTGGGTTGCTGAAGGGCCCAGCACAGTGGATCCGACATGCATGGAAAGCTAGCACACTGTTGGGACTGTGTGCTGGGAACGCTACACACACATGTTGCTTTCCAGAAAAACACACCTGAGATGTGGATACCCAAACGCATCCTTTAAATTAAAGTTACCAGCTGGCTGTCCCCTTCTGCTTCAGCAAGAGCCCTATGGACACTGCAGTTACCAAAAAAGACTGCACAGGTGTGAAACAAGAACTGATAAGTGCTTGCAGCCCCTTTAAGTATCTCCATCCTTCTCTTCAGTCCTTACCCTGCTGCTCTGCCTTTATTCCTACCACCCTTGCCTAGGAATATAAATACTGGATATACTCCTAGGGCCAGGTTCTCTACCACTGTAAATCAGCACAGCTCTGCTGCTTTCCTGCTATGAGGCATCATTGTAAGCCTTCCTAATGCTTGGCTGTAGAAGTGCTGCCCTTAAATGTAGGAGTTAGTAACTGTGCTAGAAGTTAGTTTTTCCCTGGTAAAAGCATACATCATGCAGCTCAGAAAAATCAGATCCAGGCTTTGTGGCAAGTGTTGGACTTTGTGCCAGATTAGTTTCAGGCAGTATCCTCAGGCAGCCCTCTTCTGGGTGACACAACGTCTACTTGCTTCTTCAGATCACAGAATCATAGAATCGTTTAGGTTGGAAAAGACCCTTAAGATCATCAAGTCCAACCGTTAACCCAGGACTGCCAAGTCCACCACTAAACCATGTCCCTAAGCACCACATCTACCCATCTTTTAAATACCTCCAGGGATGGGGACTCAACCACTTCCCTGGGAAGCCTGTTCCA